TGAGTACTTCAAGTCCTGTGCAAAAACGCATGATCGCACGGGCTCGTCTGGTGCGTTTCAGCCTGGGTTATGCTTTTTTGCACATTTATGAAAATGCAAAAACGAATATTGACGAAAGGTAGGTTGCCAGTGTGTGTGTGTGTGTGTGTGTGTATGTGCGTGTGTGTGTGTATATGTGTATTCGCACTTTTTTCATCCACTTTCAGCTCAGCAACCGATGAAGCTAGGAAGCTGAAACTTCTGAAGCTTGTTCCCACCTTTATGCGGTTTGTGCTGTGACAGTTTTGCAAAACGTATATTGTCATGCTTCTGCGTGTATATGTGTATGTATGTATGTGTGCGTGTTTGTGTCCGTGTTTGTGCGTGCGTGCGTGCATTTTGTCTCTGCTTTTCAGCTGCGGGGTCACAGAAGTAAGAAGCTGAAATTTTAGAAGAATGTCCCCTACCCAAAGTCCCGCATATTTATATCCAGCGTCTACGTTTGTCTGTCCTCACGTACGCTCGTGTGAAATTTTTGACGAAATCGCTAAGTCGGGAACCACAAAAGCTACGAGACAGAGATTTTGGTAGAGTTTTCCCTGCCCACATGCGACCCCGCAAATTTAAATTCAGCTTTTACATAAGCTCAGATCTTACATACAGATAGATGCACGAAAGCTTTGACACCAAAATCACTAGCACAGGAGCCACGAAAGCGGAGAAGATGAAATTTTAGGAAAATATTCCCTGCTGTGTGTGTTCGTGCGTGAGATGTGCTCCAGCGGGGACGCTAATTTTGCCTCTGGGTTACTTCGACTTTGTGTCTTGTGGTATCCTCTATAGAAAAGGAAGATCTCGATCGCACAACATAAGTAGCGCAGTTGAGTGAGCATTCTAAACACTGCTATCCTCGGGAAGAACGAATTACCTTCCTCACTTTTACACCCAAGATCAACCTGGACGCTACAATCGGTTTAGCATGGAAAAAAGACTTCATGCCATCGTTCACCTCTATAGGCAGTTTGTTATGGAAGGCAAAAATTGCTGAAAAAATGGGAAGTGAGTGCCACGCACCGTGTTTTGGATATTCAATGGTTAGGGATCCATTCACCACCGACAAGGAATGCGATCGGAAGTGGGCTGATCTCTGTCACACTTTACGGGTTTTATGCGTTTTTGTGCCGCCATGTACAAATAAACGGGGCAATATGGGCATAAAGATGGGTGCGTGTGTGTGGATGTGAGTGTGTGTGTGTATGTGGACGAATGTGAATATATACGTGTAGGTGTACATGGCACGTGAAATTTTTAGCGCACACGGTGGAAAAAATATAATTAAAAGGATATGTTCAATTACTTGGTCAGGTGTACAATTAATTACTAAATGTATGTAATTGGGTGCTTTGGTAAGTATAATTAAGTGACGCTGTCTGTCGACCATTTCAACGAATTAACTCTGATTTCTGCAGAATGCCTAATTTCTCTCAAATAAGCCAATAATGATGCTCGTTTAAGTGAGTACGATGAGAGCGATCCAAAATCGTGGTTCGGGATATCGCCTGGTTCGAACGTGCTCAATGGGAGATATCCATCTGCGAAACCGTTCGTAGAGAAACTACAGCATCAGGAAATCGCTCTACTGGAACGGATGGTGGAGGAGCGAGAAGCGCGTCGCAAAGCAATACAGCGTGAGGTTTTTCAAGAGTTTGACGGGAATCTGCAAAAACACATGGAAAAATTGCAGTTGCAGGTAATTAAATTTTTGCTGCAGTCACCTTCTTTTTTATGTGTTTTTTGCAGCTATGCAATGCGAAAACCCATATTGACGAGAGGTTTTCTGTGTGTGTGTTTGTGTGTGCGCTGCGCGTCTGTACCGATTTTTCACCTCGAGGCCCACAAAAGCTACAGGGCTGAAACTTCGGGGACTTTATCTACATGCGCGTACGGACCCCCATCCCCAAAATGGGGATGGGGGTCCGTACGCGCTTCATAGGTTTTGTGGCTGATGACACGGTATAAAACGCATTTGTTCATATCATGTAAATGCACATACACACAGGCAGAGGAGTGACGGTATGCGTATTGTGCGACCGTTACACATAGAAACAAATATTGTAACGACTCTGTGTATGTGTATTTGTCTGCGTGTGTGTGTGTGTGTTTTTCTGTTCGAGTGTTTCAATCGGCAACCAATGAAGCTTAGATGCTAAAATTTTGTCAATGAGTCTCCAGGTCAAGTGCGACTTCAAGAACCTTCACACACGTCTGCATTTCACATGCAATCACATATGAGACATATTAAGCAAAAGTCAGAAGAATGGAAGGAAAGAGATGAGGAGATTGTGAAACTAGGAGGGAACAGGTGGACATGTATATTTCTTATATATAACGGGGGAGGGGGGCATGTCGAACCATTTTGCCTGTTTCATCCCTCAGCTGTAAACACAGACAGCAGTCAGATTTGAGTAAAGGTGAGAATCATTGGTACCGACGTTTCGCATAATTCATGAAAATAAATACTGTGCAAATCTCTCGATAAAGGGAAAATCTCTAACATGGGAACCAGAAAAAGCTAGAAAGCTGAAATTTTAAAGTCATATTCTACGTCCGCGTATTATCGAGAGATTTTGATTTCACTCGTTAATGTACCTGTGCTTCACTTAGAGCGCGCGGGAGTTTTGGTGAGATAATTACTGACAAGAAGGCCAAGTAAATTTTAGAGAATTTTCTCTGTCATGTGCGAAGGAGAACCGGTTTAGCTGACCACAAAAACGCATGGCCTGGTGAGCCCTCCCACTAGGTTGTATATGTAAAGCGAACACCGCTACTTGTTGTTTGTCACTGCCTTGATACACAAATTTATCCAATTCAATTTTTGTGCGCTTTGTCACGGGGTTGTCTGTGTGTGTATGTGTGTGTGTGTCCGCAGCAACTTGTTCTGCAATTTTCAACTCGGAAACCACAAAGGCTAGAAAGCTGAAAATTTGGGGGAACGCTCCCCACCCACGTACGACCTCTGTCCATACACGCGAGTAAATAC